GACTATCAGGAGCATCATTCTGTCTGAGCCCTCTGCAAAGGTACGTACGCCTGCTCGTCTCGCTTTGACGGACCCACATGGCCGGGATAATTGTCTACATGTAAAAGGGATACCCGCGAGTCGCAGCCACGCAGCGGAGCCGCCTCTCGAGGCTTTGCTGATTTGGAAGCCAGCATCAACGAGCGAGATTTCGGTCCAGCCACTACATAGTACAACACTAGCATACAGCGTACGGACAAGACAACAAACACTTTCAACATACTGGACTGGACCATGTTTGCTTGCAGGGCTTGCTCGTCCTGGAATGAGAGGTGTTATGAACAGCGGGAGTGGTGAGATCTCCATGCTGCAAGGGTGAGCCTGCTTGCGGTGAAAATGAGGAAAAGGAGCCGCACCCTTTGCGCGCTGGCGGGCGCCAGACAAGGCTGTGCATTATTTTCTATATTATTGCGTTTGCTGTCGCGTATCGAGCAGCACACGAGGATGCGAGGCCTCCCCTTCCCTCTCTGCTCTCCTCCATTGGACCTCTGTGTCAGAGATACAGATTGCGGCTGCCGCTGCAGGGCTTGCTCTTGTGTGTCTGGCGATGATTGTTTCTCTCTAGTTGCCCATGAAGACGGCATGTTTCCGCGTGGTGCTCGTTTCCTCAATAAGGCCGATGTGATCGTGAAAGGGGAGAGCAGTCTCGACGACTGACTGCAGAGCAGTTGCTTTGTGCATAGGCTAGACCCCTCTGCGACTGGGTTCTGGTGCTAACAAATCACGAGCGAGGTGCATGAGTCGGAGTACAGCTGTTCTCGCCTGGAAAGTATGTATGCTGTCTGTTGTTCGACTCTGAGAGGAAATAAGAAAAGAAATGCAAGAGGTGAGTGTTGTTGCTCTCGAGGCTTTGATGACGATGATGCGTTTGCGATACGGTTCACGTCCAAGTCGAGGTCTCGACACTCGAGGCCATGCGGGTTGATAGTCCCATCTGCAGTGATTGTGAAATGGATCGAACGGCATTGGCCGCAGGTCGAAGCCAAGTATCTGCCAAGACGCCCCCAGACTGCTAGCCAAGAGGGATCATTGAACCTTTGGCGCTGTCAATGAAGTAGACTGGTCCCCTCGGGCGACCGTCGGTGCCGAAGGAGTAAAGGCGTGCGGCGTCCGCTACTGCGCCATGTGCTTCCTCGAGGCCGACGGTCTTGGGCGTGGCTGGGCGAAGGGCCGAGTTCGGGATGACATGCCGAGGTGCGCCGAGCAGCAAATCGGGCCCGCGTCTTCGCTCTGCTGATTAGCACGTGGAAACGGCCAAGCTGCAGCAAAAACACGCACCAACAGCAGCATGCACCTGCTGTATGCTACCCTAGCTTACATAGTAACTACATTTACTCTTGGTTGGCTATCACATGCGTGGGCCAAAGCACTTGAGTATCGAATCTTCATGTATTATAGTGTCATAAGTGTCAACCGTGTGCTGATTGGCCGCAAAAATGTGCTTCCCATCCGTTCTGCCGTTATCAATTACATTCAATCGCCTTACCTCATTTCAGGTAGTGGACATTATGTAATGCAGGCTGCCTTTGGCACCCAGATGCGGGAGCTTGTCGCTGCTCCCCACCAACAAGATAGCCAGGGGAGCCCTGCGCCATTTTCGTCACTGCGCGTTCGCGACCGACGGGACGAGAGCAAGCCTTGACTGCAGCTTTTGGGTTCCTCCAAAAAAGACAAGAAAAAGGCAGACTGACCGATCTCGAAGCTGTCAGCTACATACAGTAGGCGTAGTCCCGTCTTCGTTGGCCAGCTACAGAGCGAGGTGTGGCCGAGACTGTCCAAGCTCAGTGATTAAGCCCTCAGTGTATAATTGTGGCTTATCAGCCACCAGAGCGCCTTATCGCCGGTCACAGTGACGAGAGGCAAGGAAGAGGAAAAAAAAAAAAAAACGCGCTTGCAGGCCAGTCATCAATTGCGAAAGGCCCGACTGTGGCACTCTGAGACTCGCAGACTCCCAGATTGTGTGGATTAATTGCTGGGCCCCCTCCACCCTCACCTCAAAGTGCTTCGCACCGCAACTTCTGTTTTCTCTTTGTCGCCGCATCCTCCGATATCGACATCTGCATTACTTGGCAGCTGGCTCACCTGTGTGCCGTCCTTGTCGTTGCTGCTTCTGCTACTGCTTCTGCCCCCAAACATCCTTTTGTCACACTGACAACCTGTCGTCACCTACAGCATCTAAGCAGCAACCTTTTTGCGCTCAGGCCGTTGCGTCGTCCCCCTCTACCTGCGCCGCTGCAATCCTCTATTTCTCCTTTATATACACACACACCTTTCTCTAGAGCTATGGCTTCCACGTCACGAGCCCTGGCCCTGAGCAAGCTGGCTGCACGCCAGACTGCCTCGATGCCTCGCATCCTCAGCCCTTCCGTCCGCTCCCTCACCACCTCCACTGCGTCGTCCCGATCTGCTCTCAACAGCAGAATACGGCCTGCCGCCCTCCAGATCCAGCGTCGCGCCCTCTCAGATGCGCCGCTTCCTCCACCCAAGAAGGCAAAGACTGGAAAGCTGAGGAAGACGTTGCGCTGGACGTGGCGCCTCACATACCTTTCTCTCCTTGGAACCGTTGCCTATGTCAGCTACGAGGTCTGGGACAGCAGAAATCCAGACAACCAGGTCATTCCTGACCCCAGCAAAAAGACTCTCGTCATTCTCGGTAAGTCGACATTCCATTTCTCCTGAAGGACGTTGAAGGCGCACAACAGACTGCGCCACTATCATCGGCAGCAGCACAGGCCAGTTGAAGCAACATCATTTCTAACGATTCTGTGCCTTGTTTCCATACATACAGGTACTGGCTGGGGTACGGTAGCCCTGCTCAAGAAACTCGATACCGAAAACTACAATGTTGTCGTGATCTCGCCTCGTAACTACTTCCTATTCACGCCCCTCCTCCCCTCGTGTACGACGGGCACCATCGAACACCGCTCCATCATGGAACCCATCCGCACTATTCTCCAGCAGAAGAAGGCCGCCGTCAAGTACTACGAAGCCGAGGCCACCAAAGTCGACTCGGAGCGCAAGGTTATACGCATCAAGGACGAATCCGAGATCAAGGGTACCGTTTCCGAGACGGAGGTGCCCTACGACATGCTGGTCATTGGCGTAGGCGCCGAGAACGCCACCTTTGGCATCCCTGGTGTCCGCGAGAATGGCTGCTTCCTCAAGGAGATTGGTGATGCCCAGCAGATCCGCAAGAAGATCATGGACTGTGTCGAGACGGCCGCTTTCAAGGACCAGGACCCTGAGGAGATCAACAGACTGCTGCACATGGTCGTTGTGGGCGGTGGCCCCACTGGCGTTGAGTTCGCCGGTGAGCTGCAAGACTTCTTCGAGCAGGACATCAAGCGTCTCATTCCCGACATAAGCGACCGCTTCAAGGTTACACTGATCGAGGCGCTGCCCAACGTGCTGCCCTCTTTCTCCAAGCAGTTGATTGACTACACTGAGAGCACTTTCAAGGAGGAGAAGATTGACATTCTGACCAAGACCATGGTCAAGAAGGTCACCGACAAGGCAGTCGAGGCAGAGGCTTCCAAGCCCGACGGATCCAAGGAGCGCATTACCCTCCCTTACGGTCTTTTGGTCTGGGCAACTGGCAACGCCGTCCGCCCCATTGTCAAGGACCTCATGACAAACATCTCGGCTCAGAAGGACTCGCGCCGCGGCCTCGCTGTCAACGAGTACTTGGTCGTGCAGGGAACCCGCGACATCTGGGCTGTCGGTGACTGTGCCGTGGCCGGCTACGCACCCACAGCGCAGGTGGCTTCGCAGGAGGGCGCTTTCCTGGCCAAGTTGTTCAATAACATGGCCAAGACGGAGGCTCTCGAGGATCAGATCCGCGATCTCTCTAGCACGCTCAACCTAAAGCCCGGCAACGCCGCCGATATTGCTCGCCAGATTGAGGACTACGAGCGCCAGCTGCGTCGCGTCAAGGACATCAAGCCTTTCCACTACTCTCACCAGGGCAGCTTGGCCTACATCGGCAGTGAAAAGGCTGTCGCAGACATTGCCTGGTTCAACGGCAACGTGGCCTCGGGTGGTACTTGGACGTACCTGTTCTGGCGCAGCGCTTACCTTTCCATGTGCTTCAGCAGTAAGTTCATTATGCCAATTCGCTGTCATTTCTGGAGCCCAGGATTGCTAACCGTTCTCGCACAGCCCGTAACCGCCTGTTGGTGCTGAATGACTGGGCCAAGTCCAAGATCTTCGGACGTGATGTTTCTAGGGAGTAAAGCAAAAGAATAGACCAAATGATCCAAAAACAAAAATATGAAGGTAACAATCGAAGTACCGGCAAGGGTCCAAAACAACCAAGACAAGAGGAGAAGAAAATAGCAGGAAAGGTCCGCGTGAACAGGGACCGGGAGAGATTTGGGTAAAGGAGAGGAAAGTAATACTATATGCTTTGATATCCCCATCTCTGTTTCTCTTTCAGGCGTCAGGCGGCGGTGAGGGAGGCAAGGGATATTCTGGGCAGGAGGGCTGGGCTAGTTTTAGATCCAGGTTAGGATAGACTTCTGACTTTGTGAAGCGTAAATTTTCTGTCTGTATACTGACTTCCAATGTCTCTTGTGGTTGAGAATGGAAAAGGCTCAATATGACGAAAGAAGAAGGTAAAGAAAACTAAGGAAAAAAACCCAAAATATTGACAATAGACATTGTTACGAGAAACACACCGGACAATCTCTTTCTTACATGTTCTAATCATGGCATATCATGATGTATTCACCTCCGTGATTGTTTACTTTTATCAGTGTCTGCACGAAAGTTGACAATTTCAGATCGTGGGCTTAATACTGCATTGCGGCGGCAAGAAGATCTAGTGCCTACAACACAATCACTTACTCCAATTTGCCGAGCCTGGCTTTGAACAGCATCAGACTTGACAGACTCGATGACAATTTGAAACCCAAAAAAACATTAAAAGAAGAATTGAAAGTCAACGAAAAATCTCAAAAGTATGATCTGGCCCGGGTTCGAACCGGAGACCTTCAGTGTTTCAAGCTCGCTTTTGGGCGAGATGTTAGACTGACGTGATAACCAACTACACCACCTGACCATATTGAATTGTTGATATTTGAATATTTTATTTTGCTTATATACCACAAGAATGAAGACCAGAATTCCTATAATTTTCATGAACTACACCCTTCGCAATCACATGCAAACCTGATCCAACGTGATACCTTTTCCATTCACTCCAAACAGAGATCAATACAGGAAAAAAGACTCCGGTGGTGTAGCACATCAACGATGAACAATTTTTCTCACATGCGAGACTCATTCTTCACACGCCTGGATGACCAATTCGTGCGTAGGTGCGTGCCCTCTTCCCGAGGAAAATCTGCAATGCAGATAAAAGCCTACAGATTACATTCCAAGCAGAATGTCTCCACATCGGGCGTTGCAGGGTAGATATCCTGGCCGTACGTTGCGTTGAGCGAGATGGATCCGATGATGGTTTGTTGCTCAGTCCGGATCCACGTGTCGACGGTGAGTAAGGATGAGGGTGCTGCGGAGGAGGGCACAGCAGCGACTGCGGTTGAGACCGTGTCGTCGTCGGTATCGAGTGGCTGTTGTTGGCGCCGTGCTTGGGCTGGTTGCTGCTGAAGTGGCTGCCTATGTGGGATCTTGGAAATGAGGATCTGGCGCGCGCCACGGATCCACGAGCCGTATCCGCCGTAACCACTATGTTGGCCGAAGCAGAGATTGAGACTGGTTGTGGTAGGAGTTGTCATTGGAGTCGTGCTAAGAGCTGACGAGGAGTCGCTTGAAAGCCCGGTCGTGTTCCAGTTGTAGCACCAAGTATCACCTTTTGCGCAGTCAGTCAGCTTCACGATATCAAACACATCAGAACCATCCGCCACCTCACTCACCATGATCGTGGCCCGAAAATACACCCATCAACCCCTCCGTCGCCACCAGTGCTTCCATGAAGGGCACATCCTGCCCGCCATACGCACAACCTACCGTGCCATTCGCGCACCAACCTTGGCCCTGGCCCGCAAGCGGGAAATCGTCGTTGATGCCTGGAAAAAGGTTCGGATCAACGCCCTTGCTATCGAGCTGTAAGGCTCGTGAGGCGTTGAGAGGGATGTGCACAAAGGCCAGCGAGGGAATGACTGTTGTCGTGTTTGTGTTTGTACTTGTGGCTTTGTCGATGCTGCTGCTGTAACTTCGCGCGAGCTCAGTGCGCGTCTGCGTAAACCATTCTACAACGCTTTCGTCGACCCAGCATTCTTCTGGAACGACGTTGCCTTCGTCGTCAAGCTGCTGGTAGCGATTCCCACCGCGGCTGTCAAAGAACCACAGTATCAGCTCTGGCACACAGCCATTCATTGCCTCAGTATCAACACGCCCATCACACTCGGCCCCGTACACCGGCAAGTAGTAATTCGAAACGCCCACCTGGTCCCCACCTGCAACCATATTCCCCGTGCGCGAATTCGGCCACTCGTGCTCTTTGTGCCACAGGTGCACCCGTGAGAGGTTGAAATCGCTGTCGTGGTTGCCGTACGTCGACGCCCAGGTGAGATTGCGCGCCACGAGCGGCGCGGCAATGGCTGCCATGTACGCGGTTGCGTTGGCCTTGAAGGCGTTGTTGCCTGTGATGAGGTCGCCGTTGAGCACAATGAGGTCTGGCGTTTCGATGTCGAGGATCGCGTTCATTACTCTGGTGGTCTGGATGTCTTGAAGAGGACCCCAGGCGTCCCATGCGTCTGAACGGGGTTTCTTGTTAGCTTATCTTTTGATATTGTTAATCTAGACACGCATTGATGTGTGGCATGGACATCAAGCCCCGCACGGTCTTAGTTGCGAGCTGTACCGGAGGGCGTTACGCACTCTCGCCAAAATGAAGATCCTCAAACACGGAAATCTGAAAAGTGCCATCATCACGAAACCTCAATGGTCCAAACTCGGCGCTAGTAGTGTTGGGATTACCAGTAACATTTGTGACATTCAACGGCCCGGGGTTGTCCTTCTCTAATTGAGCCAGTACAACCTGCGACCATAAACCAATCCACAAACAACAAATAGAAAGCGGGGATAATAACATTTTGAGAAAAAAAGAATAGATGCGCCGGTGATACTTGTATCGCTAAAGTCCAATAGTGTGCATTTCCCGTCTTGGCCCATCCTCCCAGGACCAAAGCCAAAACCATAAGTAAATGAGAAATGTGTTTGAGATACGTGACAGCATCAATTCCGATGCAGTTGCATGCCTGTGTTAAGGGAGACTAGACACACTTCTCCAAGTATGTCAACCGCAACTGAGCCTGTCAACCACAAATTCCTCAATCTTCGTGCTCGGCATAGTCAAGGGGAACTTTGAAAAAAGACATTCTGAGGGAATTGTGTAAGAAGATGTCACAGAGGAGACGGATAGATCGGCACATCTGTTTCGCTGATCCAATAGCAAATGGTGGTCGTGACAAACCGTTCGAGAATGAACAGGAAACGTATGATGAAATCCAACAAGGGATATCCTTTATACGGCAAGATCTTCCCAAGCCATCGGCCTAAGTGCCGTTTGATCAAATATGGAAGAAGACAGATATCCCAGTCTATACCTGTCCAAGTCCTAGTTCTACCCCAGGATTCTTGTCTAGCACTCATGGTTGATGATGATATGAAGAGGCTCCTTTGATTGTCGATAATACCGATAATGCATTGCTATCTACGTTGTCCACGTCGTGCTGAACAGTGTATATTCCTCAAATCAAACAAAGCCAATACGGAACGCTATCATGCCTATACTGGGTATCCGCGTGCCTTGTATGCAGAACCAACCACGCAACAACAACAATCTAGAAACACGGACACTCTCTCTTCCAAACAGTAGTAAAGTATCCTTTGGCCGACGTGTGTATCCTCAATGTCCGTCCTTTGCCGCTTGGCTCCAGCCCTTTGCTAACCCGCGGAAAGCCAATCGCCTCATACCCAACGGTTATTGAACAACCCAATAGCAGAAATTGCCATGGAAGTCCCAAGCAAAGATCAACCATCAACCATATTCATCCTCTTTTTAAGAATGTTCTGCTTTTCTACCCTGCAACTCCCGCAGTACTCACTGTGCCACTGTTTCAGTGACTCCACCCTCTTCTTATCAATAGGCCGCAAGACCTTTTGCGCGCTCCCGCCGGGTTCAGCGGAAGCAGAAGACTTGGTGCTGCTGGTTGTGTTACCGCCATCGACCTCCTCAGAGAGCATCATCTTGACCTGCTCACAACGGACATCTTCATCCAAAAGCCAATTCTCCCATTCACTCTGAATCATTTCGGTCTCGATACTATTGACCACGCGCATGGCAACAAGGAGATCGTGGCGGTACGAGCCGAGCCTCTGTCGCGTGCGACGTAGCCGTCTCGCTGTGGATTTACTGTGACCGGACGTCAAGGCGGCGCCAGCATCTTCATACGGCGAGTCCAGAGACGTGTTGTTGACAATCGAACGGAATGTGTCATAGCTAAGATTCAATGTGTCAGTGGCAGAAACTTTTCCGTCAGAAGAGGCGGTCTTGACATACCATTCACTGGCACCTTCAGGAGCAACCACGACAGAGCCTAGTGCTGCCTCGTCCAGATCGGCAATATATATCGCCTTGCTCATTACTGCGTTTGGACCAACACCAATTCGAGCCATGAATTTGGCCGCATTGCGCTCCGTCCACCAACTCGATCCTTCGCGGCCCGTAAAGACAGCATTGGTCAGCAAACTGAGCGCAAGCGCAGCTAGGATGACTCTGTGAGCGGTGAAGACGCTAAAGATCTTTCTGATGCCGGCAAACGTCCACATGAGCAGACTTGTTGCTACACTCTCTAAGATGCTTCTCAGCGTCTCGAGCACCATCTCGGTCAATGTGCGAGGTCGGACCATGGCATTCTTCTTGCCGGGCATCACTGCCGTGCCGTCCTCTTGCGTCTCGCCAGGTGTGAAGATGACCACCTGTGTCTGCTGACCGATGCTACCATACACTTGGATTGCCCTCTTGGTGCGACTGTGCGGTCCCAGCTTGCGCACTTGATCTGTTGCAATATCTGCAAGCTCTTCTGCGTCGCGTTGTGCGTCTTCCAACGCTTGCCGTTGCACAAGAGCCTTGGACAGCGGTGGCTTCTTGGACCACTCGACCTTGTTGTACAGTGCAAGCTTACATTTGGACTTGGCCACGTGCGTGATGACAACCTTGGTGATGATCCTGAACGAGGATGAGTGCGGAAGGTGCCAGGGCGTTTTGGAATAAGTGACGACGTAGGTAAAATGGTCGCTAAAGACATCAATGACTTGTGTATCGACGACATCTTTCTCTGAATTCTTCTTTGCGTACGCCATAATGCTGAAAGTGCCAACCTTGAACTGAAAGTCACGCATCAACTTGCCGTGGTCCATGAGCTGCCAAGGTCCTTGCGCAATCTCCTTGGCCCGCCGCTCAAAGTAGAGCTTGGGGAAGATGAATGACTTGTCACCAAACAGTACATGGAAACATCCCTTTGCACTCAATTCAAAGTTGCGCTCTTCGACGGGTGCGCCCATACCTTCTGGTTCGTAGACCACGGTATGCGCAGGGAGCTGGAATTTGGGCACTGGTTTGCGCACTGGACGCGCTTGTCTGCCTCGGGCATTATAAGTATTCCTGTAGACTGGTCGTCCAGAAGCAGTACCGTCATCAATGGGGGTGTTCGAAGCCACCTCTTCCCAACTCTCGGCACTGGGGCTCTTTTTATCGTAGTCATCATTCTCCAAATTGATGAGAGCAGTGATAAGTTCCGAAATGTTTAGTGGCTCCTCAGACTGCAAATCGTCGACGAGTAAGTTCAGCCGGGAGTGTAACAGATTGAGATCCAGGAGGAAGGTCTTGATGATAATACGAGTTAGACCCGTGTTGTTCATAGTCTGGCTGAGGTGTAGGTAAATGAAGTCGCAATCCCTGCCTGGCGCCGCCGTGACCTCAGAGATGATGTCTAGGCTCAATGGATAGGCTATGATGAGGCCCATTTGTTGTCCATAAAAGTACATGTTATCAGAAGTGACATAGATGCGGCCGTTGCCCATCATTCCTTT